TTCCAAAGGAAAGTGCCTTAAGTCCATATTTATTCTTCTTCTTCTTCTTCTTCTTCTTCATCTTATTCTGTCGTGTGTGCTCATCAGCGCGCATGTCTACTAAATAGATGATGTACTGCAAGAAGACCCAAAGCTTCGTATAGGTAACACTGTTCGGCTACTGCGTCTGACATAGACCCGTTGGTACTTTGTAGTGTCTGATGGAAGTCCATTTTATTTCGAGCTAAAGTAGTCATCGTATGAGACATCAAAACCTTTCGCGAAGTTCACGATCGCCTAATGTACAGTTTTGAAGCACTTTCTGGGCCTTTGAACTACTAGGCTGCTAGATATCTAAAAAGAGTTCTTACTTAGGCCGAATTGAAGCAGTTGAGATTTTCTAACACCTCACTCTAGCTTTCGTCTCTACACTTCCTACTTGAGTCACTGCTACTATTATCCGTTCTATTTGCAATAGGTTGTGGCGAATCATTAGGATATGTTCTTGGTGGGTTTTTATGTCGTTAATGCGTTACATCTCAGTCTGATCGGACACCCAGCTCTTTGGGAAGTTTTAATAAAGATTGTAGCGATTTGTATGTCCTTTTGCGGTTCGTTAGTAAGACGAATGGTACTTACCCATATTGCCTTTATGGCTTGGAGCCCAGTATATATACAAACTTAAACTGTCCACTGCTTTTCTGCTTCTAAAGACATTTTCTGATGTAAGACGATATGAGATTATTGCCTTATATGCCACACAGCTGTCGAAATTGCAACAAATTGCATCTGTCTTATCTTAACTAGACAGAAGTCCAATGTGCGGATACCTCGTAGCCTTTAGGCAGGCAACTCGTTATATTAACGTGTATCCCGAGGGTGGGCGCTGGGTCAACATTGAGAAAAAGTCTGCAAAACCTAGGCTGAGCACTTGTAACACAGCAGATGTAAATGGTGTAGAGCTTTTGCAGGACAGACGACTACAAAATGGGCTTCTGCATTTTCCAAGTGGAAGTACATGGTACAGAAAAGGTCTGTAGAGATCTAATGATTAACGAAGAGAGACGAAACTGTAGGAAGGTTCTAAATTCGCTTGCAGCTCAACTCGCCTTCTCTATCATCTGAGTTTTCGCCCATAAGAACACAGCCATGAAAGTACTGACGAGATGATAAAGTAGGAAGCATCTCATAAGGAATCTGTAACTAGGAGAAAGCTTCACTTGCGATTTGAACATTGAAGCAATGAAGAGACAGAACTCCACATCGGAATCAAGATAACGAAACAGATTTGATACAGTCATAATAATGGCCACTGCCTCTAGGGATAAAATTCATAAAAAAACGGATCTGTCCCTTAACAGCCATTGCCACAGCTGGAGTATAGAGAGAAATAAAGAAGAAATGTGACTACAACTCTGTCTACCGAGCATAGATTGTGCACGTTACTGAAGGCGGATAAGCTGATTTGCACTGGCGACTGCCTCAGACCATTCAATGCCTTCAATTGTTGCTTAAATCAGTGGAACCTAGGGGAACGAATTAAGGTTCTGGAGTAAACCCAATCTAGGGCGTATCACTATGCTACTGTGAGCCAGCATTAACATATCCAAAGTACGACAAAGTAGAATTGGCAGTTTGTGGAGCCTGCCCAGAGGAGAAGGACGAAACGGTGAAGCATTACTTTTGAGACTGTCCGACCTTCAGCCGATTGAGACGTCACATCTTTCACGATCCTCCCAACTGCGGCCTTAAGAACAATGGTGCACATGGGTGGGAGATTACAATAAGTCCACTTGTTGTCTTAGCTGCGGCAAACCGCACACCTTTCGACTAAGCAACAAACCATGGAAACAATAACTTATTTTCTGTACTGTGAAAAGCCAGCTTTCTTGCAAATACGTCGCAGAACACTTCGAATCCATCAAAGCTCATCTCAGCTTAAAATCTCTCGAGCAGTAATTCTACCAACCTACTTGCAGTCCTACACCAATCAAGAAGACCTGCTGCTGCTTGTGTTCGCAAACATACCAAAGAAAGTTTCGTTGCCAGGTTTTGTTAGATTGCTGTCGTTACTTCCTCATACTCGGAGATATCGGACTAGTTAATCTCAATCAACACAAGTTGTTGTGATGTCGGGGTAGACATGATCGCATGCTCCAACTCACCAAAACTGTGTTACACATAAACGGAAATTTCATACGACGGACTTTGCCGACGCAGCTGAAATTTCGTGAGTGATTCCCTTACGCGCTGCCGCTTGAGTCGTCGCCGCCGTCGACAACAGCGCCAATAAGTTTGATAGCGAAATGTGGAGTACAAAGTTCTTATTTATTGCTTTGCAATTATTTCACAATTAAAAAAAGCCACCAACCTTTGGAACGCAAGCAGCAACGGCGCAGCCGCAGACGTTAGCTGCAAGAAGCAAGCGAAAGTGTAGGAGGCGGTGGTACTGAACGAATTTGGTCAAGGTGTAGCTGAGGTGAGCTAGAATCAATTAAATGAATTAAATAAGCGAAAGAGCAACAACAAGACCGCGAAGAAGGCATAAAAAATGAACGCAATATTTTGGTGATACTAAACGAACGGCAATTACGCTGCTGCTGTCGCTGTTAGAGTCGACGTTTTCGTCAAGCCAAATATTTTCGGCTCACACATACATATGTATAAACGTGTATTCGATTGATAACAGCTCAGCGATAAGTGAACGACAAAGCAAAACTGCTCGGAAGCAAACGAAATGCTTATCTTCTTCTTCTTCCTCCTCTTCTTTTTCTTTTGTTATTAAGAAAGTTGAAGTGAAATGACTGCATACATACATACATACTCAAAGCCATATATGTTAAACATCAATAAATATTCATGTAAATGTCTGATATTCTTAAAGTCTGATAAGCATACAAGCGCTTGAACGGCGATCGACGGGCGCAATTGTGAACCCAACAAACAATTGTACTTGAGGTCCTTTTTGGGATAAACCATTCTATTAATGTGGTGGATCAAGTATCCATCTAAGGATTTTTTTTTTTTATTAAATTATCATGATGAAATCTCAGGGCTCGTCAACATTTCTCTCGCTCTTGGCTCTCTCCGAACTTAATCGCCCGAAGCTCGCAGGCATTGATTTGGTTTATTCTCCGTTTGCAGCCGATTAGAAATGTGAAACAAAGCCGGACCCATCTCTACTTGAACTTTCTAACGGAGAGGCGACATTCCTCTTTTTCAGCTTTCACCGACGAGTATTGTGGAAATCTTTCAGAGCTGGCTTGATTTCATACCTATGGACGACAGGACCTAGCCATCCTTGGCGCTGTCTCTTGATTCGCTGAACTATATAAACAACGTCGTATATCTCGTACAGCTCGTAGCATCTGCAGTCGAGAACTACCAAAGCAAAGGACAGGAATGATGAGAAACCTGTAGAGCTCGGTATTAGTTTGCTCCCCAGCCCCAATTTTCGGACACCGCGTGAGGTATCTAACGACTCTGAAAGATCCCCAACTAACCCGACGGAGCTTCTAGTGTTACTCGGCATCAGTTTACACAGCCGTATGAGTTTTGCATGGATAATGCGAACATTACGACAAAAAAAGGCTCAACCGACAAAATTTTTACAAAGGAGTTGATACATGCATTTTTTAAGTTCTTCAGCACGATATTTGGACAGCTTAGCCAGCAAGCGATCGCCCCCTGCTGCTTTTTTATGCTTTAAGCGGGTAATTGCCAGTCGAACTATATCATAGTCGGCTGACAAAACATCATTTATATTGTTATCGATTAGGAAATCGAGTTCACCATCTCTGGGTGTTCCACTTTTACTGCTATTCAGCAAGATAGTGGTCCGCGCCGATATTAGGACCTCAGAGAGTACGCAAGCCTATAACGCGTGTCCGTCTATAATAATGTGGTCGATATGGTTTGGAGTCCCTTGATAGTATGACAATCAAGCATTTTGACAGATTTTTTATGTTGTAATCTGATCTTAGACATAACCATACTTCAAGTCACGGCAAAGTCGATCAGCCTCAGAACCTTAAGGAGGCCTTTGCCCAACTTTTCTTTCAAGCCACAGATCTCCATTTGCATGCGTCCTAAACCCTTAGTTACCTCGCCCCTCTCTGCTATCTGGTCGTAAGTGCAAGTCAGGCGTTCGTCCTCGGTGGAGAACAATATTACTTGGGTGGGTAAGTCTCTCTCTCACCACAAATCCAACACTAAACTTGCGCTTCTTTATATTGTCACTATAACAAAAGTCACAAGGACATTCCTTGCTCCCAAATAACAGTCCTTAATACGTTTGCACAGACCGCCATCGAAATTAGAAGTCCTTACCGAAACTATGATATATGTATGTATGTATATTTCATTGATGCTGATTTCTATGTTGGGAACCTCATGGTCAGCGCGCAACCTCGGACACGGCTTCAGCGAACCTATAGACCGTATATTTTGCAGTGGCACCACTAAAGCTGTCTCTCTTTTGGCCGTGAGCCAAGAATTCACACGGATTGATTACCGAATCTTGCATAAGGGTTGCTCAGATTTCGATTGTACGCGATGCGGCGCAAGGGTATGGGTACAGCACTGTAATGGTAACTGCATATATTTTAGTTTGTATTGGCACAAAGAATTCATGAAAAATGCTGACTGGTATGAACGCTACTAAATATGTATGCAAACCAACTTAAGAACCAAATCTAAGACACACACACATATATCCAATATGTACTTTTATATTTGTATATGTATATGTAGTACATATGTATACGTGTATGTCATTAAATACCTCAATACAAGCATTGCTGTTATCAGCGCAACAATTTCGACAGCGTTCAACGCCTTTAAGACCGACGCGATCGACGAGCGCGATCAGCAGCTGAACAGAGAAATCCTACATATTTACATACAAGTACATACTCGTACATACATACATATTGTACAAACTTACTATGAAACATCTAACATAAACACGCTCCGTACAAGCTCATAAGCGCGACACTCCAACTACTAGTGACTGCGCAGTCAACCGCCAGCTTGACTGCATTGCGCTACCGCGTCAACTCCAACGCTTGAACGTCGATCGGTGATCGTCTTTTTCACATTCATCAACAAACAAATAAGCGAAGCGAACTTGCAAGGCTCCAAAATAGCAAAGTAAAATTCAGTTGACTCAAAAGTGGTGTCGGATGTGGAAGTGTAAATACTCCAATAGTTGACAATAGAACAAAACAAACCAAAACAAAATTCAAACAATTCTATAAACTGTTCAAATTTGAAATAACGCAATTGCCGTTAAGTGTAGTGAAATTGGGAGGCGAGCAGAGAGAGAAATATTTCTTTTTAAATTACAGGTGATTACACTTTCGCACGCATTCGCATTTGTCTAAAAAAAACAAAAAAAAAAAAAAAACAAGAAAAAAATTCCCGAACACGCACGTACGGCTTAAAGTGATCCTTAGATGATCGCTGATCGTTGAACATTGGCGTAAACAAACTATTTTCACCTGCAATTTTGCTTTAAAGCGCGTTTTAATTCACAGCAGCTCATTACTTTTTCAGTAATTCTAATTTGAGAATAATTTTCGAAAATTGCCGTTCGAGTTTTTTTAAATACAAATATCATTTAACATACGATCGTGCGTGTTTTATGCGGAAATAAAAATAAAATTAAAAAATAAAAATTTAACTGTGCTCGTAATAAAAATTTCCCATTCTTCGTAGTAACCACCGAGCAGTCGTCACACAAAGTACTACAACAACATGTCTAACAATAACAGTGAGGAAGCATTCAATATACGTATAGGTTATGTGAAACCCGAAACGCTCGAAATCGCCAAGAATGAGCTTCGCGAAACGCCTGAGGTTAAAGAGGCCGCGATCAAGGAACTCCGTGAACTCCTGCATGCCGCCACAGATATTCACTACAAGGACGATGATGAGTTCTTGGTGATATTCTTACGTGCTTGCCATTTCTATCCAAAGAGCGCGCTCGAAAAGGTAGGTCAAGTGTATTTCTAAAATAAAACAAAAAAGTTTAAGGACATCAAAAGAACAAACAAAAAATAATACTATACATTATTTATTACGCTGTTAATTGTGGAGCAAAGCCAATACGAAAACATAAATTAAAAAAGCCGAAATACGAAATATGCAAAACCATTTAGTTTATAGTACGAGTATACACGTATGTATGTAAGTACATTGTATATATGTATTCACTTAGTTTATACTAAAACAAGGCGCATGTGCATACATACTAAGTAGTTCTCGCGCGTTTTGCGAAGGTGATGATAACTGAAAAGCAAAAAAATAAAAACAAAAAATTTAAACTTTATTCATACATAGCAAAATATATAAGTATTTAGCAGCACTTGTATGTTCATTGCAAAGTATCGAGTATTTTGATGTATTTATTTAACATTTCCTTTGAATGGCAATTAATACGTACTTGAATAAACTAAACATATTAACTTATGTACAGTAATTTAAAAAAAATGTGTTTTGAAAATAAAGCAAAATTAAATTAAATCAAATTATTAACTATTAAATATAAAATATAATTTTATTCCATCCTTTTACCTAGGCATTTTTATTTTGTTTTTTATTCTAAGTGACTTGATTTAAAAAAAAAATTATTTCACTTTGTTGAAAATGAGTTTCTTAAATTAATTATTAGTATTTTATTTTGTTGAATATAATTAACTTTATTTTATTTATTTACTATTATTTTATTTGATTTTGTTATATTCTGTATTATATTTTTTTATTTTTTATATGTTATAATTTATTTTAAATTGTTTTGTTTAATTTCTTTTAATTTATCTTATTTAATTTAATTTTATTT